AGTTTGTGACCTTCATTTTCCGACCTCATACTTATTGAACAACTACTATGGGCAAGGTACAAAACTATGTTCCATGAGGGATTAGAAGACTCCTTCTCGGCTGGAAGCTTATAATCTAGTTGAGCCGTTAAGATAGATTTCCCTAAATAAGCAACTAGCAAAGCAGTGAATAAAATATGTCAAAAAAGAACTACAGGTAATAAGTACTACGAGGGAGTTAAGAACCTGCTTCTTTCTGCCCCAGTAGTTCTTTCACATACCTATCTAAGAAGTGTTATCAAAAGTAATTATTTACTTGCTGAGTCTAATTTGCCCACCTGTCCCCTCCATTAGAATGTAAGCCCTTTGAGGATAAAGTTTTTTTTCATTATCGTGTCCTCGTTGTTTCGCATGTTGTTTGGTAATATTGGTAAATACCTAATAAATACGTGATGAATGAATGAATGTTTAAAGGAGGCAGGCATTTCTTTTGTGGTCAGTGTGGTAGAAGGGTTAATCTCTAAAGTCAAACTGTGTTCGTTTGAATCTCAGCTCTATCTTCAAAAAATTGTTTGATCTGGGAAAAATTTACCTGATTTCTTTGCACTTCATTTTGCTCATCAGTAAAATGATAATAACAGACCTTTCCTTATCAGCTAATTTGTCAATAGAACAAGTCACCTCCCAGAACTGATGACTTGAAACAGTAGCCATTGATTTAGCTTGGGGTTCTGTGGATCTGTAATTTGGACTATGCTGGTTCTTCTTTCTCAGCTGAGCTCACTCATGCATCCGAGTTCAGTTACCAGTGGAGCTGGGGAACATCTTGTCCGTGTGGTGGCTCATCTTCTACCAGGCTATCCTGGGCTTTTCACACGGCAGCTGGCAGGGATCCATGGGGAGAACTGAAACACACAGGCTTCTTGAAGCTTAGACTCAGAATGGGCATGAAGTCATTCCTAGCTCATTCGAGTGGTCACGACAAATCCCAAGGCCAGCTCACTTTGAAGGAGTGGCGAAATAGACTCCACTCTCTATGGGAACAGCAGCGAAGTCCCAATATAATGGAGCGTCAATACCAGGAAGAGTAGAGTTGGAGCCATTTTTGCAAATGGAAGAGGATGGCATCTACTCTACTCTCTCATGGAATTAACAAGAGGATTTAAAAAAAAAAAACTAACGGATTTAGAACACCTACCACACAAATAAATAGTAGCAATTCTATTTGAGGCTGCCAGAAATAGTGGCAAGAAATCGAGTTTAATGTTGAGGCATAGATAGAATTTCTATGTGTAGAGAACCAAGGCCTCTCATAAGGATACAGCCTCAGCATAAGCACTGGACTGCCCGGAAGACCTAGAGCTAAGTACTGGGGACCTGAAAAGCTGGAGTTGGGCTTCACCCTGGAGCAATGGCAAACCTTCGGCTTTTGACTAGAGGTTAGCCAGCAGCACCATTTCTCGCCTTTTAGTTCTTTTTCAGATTTTTTGCTCTTCAATAAGCTTCTCAATGCTGAGGGTTTTGTGCTATCTCTGGTCTTGTCTCCTCGAGACTTAAAATACAAAACCAGAAACCTATGAGTTTTGTCTGGGTTTTGCCATTCACTGCCTTTGAGAGACCTACAATACATATGATCCTTCTTTACTCAATATTATTCCCTCTATAAAATGTAAGAATCTCTCCCTTTATCCATCTATTTCATAGTGAGGACAATCTTAAAGGTCAGGTCACATTGAATGAGTATTTACCAATCAAAAGAAACACAGGGGAGGCCAGGCTATGATGCTTATATAGTTTGGTAATAACTCATAACTCCTAAGTAGAAAAGTAAAAAAAGAGAAAAATATTAAGTGTGTCTGACCCTTGATGTTAAGAAACAAAAGCATTTCAAGAACTATTCTAATCTTCAGTTCGTCCAGTCCAGAAAGATGGTCCCAAGCAACTGGAGCCTCTGCTACGCCTAATTCCTACCACCTTGAGAGCTTACCAGACTCTCGGAGCTGATAGCAGCCCTAGTAGACCGCTTAGTGGCAATAGTTTCAGGATCTTTCCATTGTGCATAGTTTAAATGCAGATTCACTGATGAGTAATTTTGATAATTCTATCGAAGTATGAAGACGGCTCGAATTAGATGACTACATGGTAATACTTAATTTTTTTTTAAAAAGACAATTCAGGCTTCTCTTATGCCATGCGAAATCCATCCTGCTGAGTGCTCTTGACTAGTCACGTCCTTCCTGCCATTTTAAAAACAATAGTGGCAGAGATGCAAGCTGCTGAGAGTGCTCAGCAGGACAGATCAAACACACAGATGCAATTTCTGTATGTTGAACAGTGAAGTAGGATAAAATTCAAATACTTACAATCGCTTAGTAGCTATCATCTGATTGCTGCAAATTGAATCTTTCATAACGGGATTTATTGTAAATAGTGTCATAACATTTGTGAGTTCTGCAATAATTTCCATGTAAGCCAGTACGAGATAGTGGAGGTGTGAGACATATATGACATGTATGATGGTTTACTCACAGATTAGAAAGGGACTTTTTGTCATCAATAGTCTTTTTTTAATTGTTTACAAAACAACTGAAATGGTCATTTTTTCCTCTGAAATTTTAAACACTATCAAATGAGGTTGCTTTAAAATGCAGGGAAAGCCCCCAGTCTTATCTACTTCATTTTAACAGCTATTTTACAACTGCCCCCAACCCCCACTCTCTTTCTCTTCCACTCCAGTTATTAAATAAGCATTAAAATCATAGGTAGCTAAAAATTTTTTAATGTCACTTTTATATTGTTTGGAAGCAATAAAGAACCTAGTAATCGTAATTAGTGACCAATATATCCTATCAGTTAAAAAGAAATACAAAATTTACAACTAAGCTACTTTGAGGCCTACAAAACATACTTTAATTCCTTTATGGTAAAATGGGAAGATGGCCATTAATTTAAGTGATCAATATTACTATTCACTGTTAGGCTTAATTCCAAATACTTCATTGGAAATTCATAAAAGATCAACATCAAAAGCATAATATAAAAATTGTACTTTGCAGGTATGAGAGTTTGATGACACTCTCCATACTCGATGGCTTTAATTGCCAGTGACACAGAATCCAAAAAAGGCACTATGTTACATTCACACAATCTACTTTGTCCAGACTTGCATAGCTTTTTTTAAAAAAAGCAAACCAAATAGGCCAGAAGATTTGGACAATCTATTCTCTTTCTTTCCCCTGCCCTGAACAACAATCAAAAAAATTTTCTTTCTATTATTTCGTCATGTATTTGGGGTTTTCTCTTATAAACATGAATATGAGAATGCACATTTCATCGGGATCTGAAGTCTTACTGTCAGAGAACCTAGGACCTTGATAGAAAAAGGCCTTTGGGGGGGGGGCATGTGCTGCAGTCTAATGCTTCTTTATTTATTTAAGAGTAAACAATCTATGTGCATGTTAATGTCCATCACTGTAAATGGGGAATTCCTTACTTTTGAATCTGAGAATCTTCAGTCCCTCCCCTCCCTTAAGCAGATGTCTTTCCATCCCTCACAAATCAAAGGGGGTGTGAAATGACAGACTTTCGGGGGTGCCTTGATGGGTATTTTAATAAGTTTACTAATCAGAGCATATATAAATCAGAATGAATCCTGTTCATATATTTAATAGCAATCAAAACTCAATTTAGTTCATGTCCAGCTTTCTCTCATGGTCATTCTACTCAAGGGCACACCTTCCTTTCTCTGCTTCTTTTTTCGCCTTTCTTTCTTGAACACCTCCAACCCCCATTGACAACCGAAATGCAGGGCTATAAATGTAAAGGCACAATACATCATGAGATAAGTCTGGAGAACATGTCCTCTACCAAAACGCACATGAATCTCGGGGACAGCTAAAATTCCAGAAACTGCTGGTGTTCATTGTGCATGCTAAGCAGGGTCAAAAATGTGAGCCCTCAGTGGTCACCCTTATCTATCAGATGAGCCCCAAAGTTGAAAGGTTACCTTCGTGAAATTGCAGCTGGGTTTCCCAGCACTTGATTCCTGCTCCTGCAAATCAAATACTTCTAATTGAAATACAAATCTGACAATATGATAATCTTCCAATTTAAAAAATGTGACTTCTGAACCCTTATCTGTTAAAGTGCTGATGGAGAACTTCAGAAGGGTTGTTTAACCAGACAAAATGATACAGAAAATATGTTGTCAAACAAGATCAGAAAGCTTGAATAGTGCAGGGACAAATGTAAAGCCAACGGCTGTCCTCTATTCTGTCTACCAGCTCTACTTCCCCCACCCCTGGTTTGTATCCTCAGCCATTCACCTCTTAGGCAAGGGCTAGCTGGCTTCCAAGTCGGACCCAAACCCCAAACACCAAGAGAGGATAAAGTGGCATCTTAGCATACTTTGAGATCAGACAGTCTCTGCATTCCATAGTGTTGGGGGTGGGGGGGGAGGGAAAAGCAGCATACCGATGGAGTTGAAATCTGGAAACAACAGCATATATACAGACACACAAAAAAAGTTTGCATATTGCACAGAGCGCTTCAAGATCATAAATCTATGCATGAGAAAGATGTAGTGGAAATTTTGGGGGGGGGATTAGAGTTTATTTTTGTCATCTCTGTGAGACAGCTACTCATTCATCCAGATCACAGCTAAGAAAAAAGCTGGTCACAGAAATTAGCAGTTTCAGCTCAGCAGCGAAGTCGCCAGCCTGTGAAGGCAGAGAGAAATTGACTAATTAGCAATGCGCACTAAAACTTGACGGTTCTTTATAGAGAGAGAGAAGAGAGAGGGAGAGAGAGGGAGAGGGAGGGAGGGGGGGCTCGCTTTTTCCCCTTCTTTCTTCCAAAGATGTTTGAAATCGCAGTCATTTACGCTCGACAATTTTTACAATAGCCTTGAGCCATAATTTTGCGAGTCTCTCCAGCATCCATCCCCCTGTATGGTCTCTCTCTACTGGCCAAGCACGACCGTTTCTCTCCCCAACCGTGGATTTCCTATTACTCTCGTTACGACTCACTGAGCCCCAGGCCCAAGGATAATGATGTGTTGTTTCTTGGTAGCATAATTTGTCACACGTACATTTTTTCTTCTTCTTCTCTTGCAGAAAGCTCTGCTCCCTCTCTCTCTCTCTCCCTCTCTCTCCTCTCTCTCTCCCTCTCTCTTTCTCTCTTTTCTCCCTCTCCTACATTTTCTTGCTGTTGCTAATTCATGGTGATCAAATGATGTACGACAAAATAAATTGTAAAGAGTGACTGCCTGGAGTTGAGAACCAGAAGGTGTTTTCCCCCTCCCAAGGAGAGAGCAAACCTTTAAAAAGGAAGGACAATTGATTTTGGGGGGGGAGCTTAAGTGAGCCTTGACTTTGCAGCTGGTTGAGAGCAGGTAAGTTTCTGGCCTTGTGTCTGCCTTGTGTGTATTTTGTTCTGTCTTTAGGGGTGTTGGGGGGGAGGACAGGGAGGGAATCTTTCAGAGGGGTGGGGTGGGTAGCTGTGTGGTAAACGCTCATAAAGAATAAAACTCCTATTGCAAGAAATAAGCAGACGAGGGGAGAAGGCAAAGGAAGAGAACAAGAAGGAAGGGGAATAGGAAAAGATCAGGGGTGGGGGGGAGACAACGAAGCGGGGAGAGCGAAAGAGAGGTATGACCGGGTCCACTTAAAGGGAGAGACTGTGAGGAGGTTTCAGGCGAGCCAGGGCTTTGGGGGTGGGGGTGAGGGTGCCTCCGGGGGAGGGAGCTCGAGGGAGGTTAGGGTCCACCTGCAACGGGATGGTAAAGTGAGTCGCGGGGAGCCCAGTCCCGTATAAATAGGAAGCCGGCGATCCAGGACCGGCGCCAGGCAGGGCAGAGCGAGCCGCAGTGGAAGGGGCAGGTCCGGCGGGATCCCTCGGAGCCGGGCGGCGGCGGCGGCGGCGGCTCCCCCGGGCGGGCGGCGGGATGTGAGCACAGGGTCCCTTTCTGCTCAGCCCTGGAAGGTGCAATTATAGGTTAAGGACCGGGCGTATCGATTTCGCCTCGCCTCCCCCCACACTGCCCTCCTCCGCCTAGATACCGGCGGCTCAGACTTTTTAAAGAAGTAGTTCCAGGGCCAGGGGAGTGGGGGTGCCCTAGTGGGGGGCGCTGGGGGTGTACCCAGGGACCGAGGAGGAAGCCGAGGCTGCCAGCGAGGACGCTGGGTGGGACGCAGAGACCCCGCAGCCGACTGGTCCCCCCACCTCCCCCGCTTTGGTAGCCCCCACCCCCTCCCCCAACACCTGTCTTCTAACTTGAACTTCTCGTAGTTACTGGAGTTAAAGCAACTGCGCCTAGTGCTGAAGAACAGTCGTCCACACGAGCCCCTCCCGGCCTTCCCGCTCTGGCTCTAAATGCACCCGGGTAGCCTCGCTGCCTCCCTCTTCTTCCTCGGTGCCGCCCCGCTCTGGAAGGGGAGATAGATGTCTGAACTTCCGTGCTTTGAAATGCAGGAGGCGGGGGAGAGGGGGCCGAGGGGGGTGGGGTGGTGGTGGAAGGATTCTCCTGCCAGGTTTACAGGCGTCTCTGGAAAATTAGCAAAACTGAGTGGTGGCGGGGAAGCCAACAGTTTGCGAAGCAGGGAAGCGGGCAGGGCCGGGGTGAGGGAAATGAGCTAGAATTGATAAGGACAGCTCCCGCCTCTGCCGAGTCCACTGAGCGGGTCCTCACCGCGCTCCGCTGCACTTTCCCGGGAGAAGAAAGGGCTTTATCTCCTCCCTCAGACTATTAGCCTAGGAGTTTCTCGGGGCAGCACGGATAATCGAAGGGGTTACCAGCTTTGGGGAGCTAAGATCGCCTACTTGCACGCTGGTCCGGCCCGCTTTCCTACCCTCCCAAACTGGGCCAACTGCGGAAAGCAAAGCTTCCGGCACAAGTTGACCTGGAACCTTCGCCGTCGGTCGCCTCTCAGCTTTCGGGGCACCCCTGGCTCCCCACTCCCTGGCCTTTCCCTGCATCCGGCCTGGCATGGACAAGAGCTCACGAGGTGTCTTGGCCTCAGCCTCCACTTTGCCGTCGCTGCTGCCACGGCTGTAGCTACCAAGAGCCGAGCTGGGGTGGTTTTTAGGAAAGTGGAGGGACAAAGTGTGTGGGAGGTGGCGAGAGGAGTAGCAGGAAGCAGAGCCCGCGCCCAGACCCCAGACAGGGCCCTTCTGGTGGCGCTCACTGATCCAGTGTCTTGAGACCTTCCTCCTAGGGTCGGGGTCTGGAGCGCTCCGGGAGGGAGCCAAGTTGAGCGCTGATTCTGGTTGTTCGCCCTCCCCTCCCCTCCACACCCTTCCCCACCCTGACCACACCCCACCCCCCTCACCACCCTTCTCCCCTCCCTCCCATCCCCCACCCTTGTCTGCCAGGTTGGAGGAGGGTTTAAAGCCAGGTGCACCGAGGCAGCTCGCCATGTCCAGATCCGGGGACAGGACCTCCACCTTCGACCCCAGCCACAGCGACAACCTGCTGCACGGCCTCAACCTGCTGTGGCGGAAGCAGCTGTTTTGCGACGTGACCCTGACGGCCCAGGGCCAGCAGTTCCACTGCCACAAGGCCGTGCTGGCCTCCTGCTCGCAGTACTTCCGATCGCTCTTCTCCAGCCACCCCCCTCTCGTGGGAGGGGTCGGAGGCCAGGACGGCCTGGGGGCCCCCAAGGACCAGCAGCAGCAGCCACAGCAGCAGCAGCCGTCACAGCAGCAGCAGCAGCCGCCGCCGCAGGAGGAACCCGGGACTCCTTCCTCCTCCCCCGACGACAAGCTGCTGACCAGCCCCCGGGCCATCAACAACCTGGTGCTGCAGGGCTGTTCGTCCATCGGGCTGCGCCTGGTGCTCGAGTATCTCTATACGGCCAACGTGACCCTCTCCCTGGACACCGTGGAGGAGGTGCTGTCGGTCAGCAAGATCCTGCACATCCCCCAGGTCACCAAGCTCTGCGTGCAGTTCCTCAACGACCAGATCTCGGTGCAGAACTACAAGCAGGTGTGCAAGATCGCCGCGCTGCACGGCCTGGAGGAGACCAAGAAGCTGGCCAACAAGTACCTGGTGGAGGATGTGCTGCTGCTCAACTTCGAAGAAATGCGCGCCCTGCTGGACTCGCTGCCGCCCCCCGTGGAGTCGGAGCTGGCGCTCTTCCAGATGTCCGTGCTGTGGCTGGAGCACGACCGCGAGACTCGCATGCAGTACGCGCCCGACCTCATGAAGCGCCTCCGCTTCGCCCTCATACCGGCCCCGGAGCTGGTGGAGCGGGTCCAGTCCGTGGATTTCATGCGAACCGACCCGGTCTGCCAGAAACTGCTGCTGGACGCCATGAACTACCACCTGATGCCCTTCAGGCAGCACTGCAGGCAGAGCCTGGCCAGCAGGTAGGAGACAACAAAGAGGAGGGCGGGGGCCGGGGGAGCCCACGAGGCCGGAGGGAGGGGAGGGGGCATGGAGGAGCCGGGGGAAGGGTGGGGTGGGAGGGAGGCTCCCGCACGCTGAAAACAAACGCAAACAGTTCAGACTGTGTGGGGAAAGTTGATTTCAGAGTCCCTGGAGGGTCACTAGGAACTGGCCTAGAAACATCCCTGAGCGATGGAAAGTCCAGATTGTCAGTATTCCCTGCGAAGTAAACCGGGGAATTGGGGCTGCAGACTGAAATTGACAGGCAGGTGGGGCCAAAGGCCGGGGCAGTTAGAAGTGCAGATTTGGAAGATTCTATAAGCCAACCATCGCCCCAAATCTTAAGATGGGCTTGCTCAAGGAAAAGGATCCTGTGAAAAGCCTGCACCCCACCTCTTTCCTGCCTTGGGCCAGCAGAAGAGCCCAGGAGATGCTAGCAAAGAGAGCTCTCACAGCCCTGCTGTCACACATTCAAGTTGTTGTTTTTTTCGTAACTGGGGTCTGTTCTCTTTGGAGGTCAGAGCTTCAAAATGCTTTGTCTATTTAGGGTCGCTGTTGGAAATGCTGGCATCATGTGCCCAAACTTTTCTACCTTGTGGAAGGTTTTTCGGTTTTGCTTGTGAAAGAGAGCAAAGCAAGAGGGATTTCAGGGTGATGGGGTGAATCTTGCCTAGTAACTCCCATCTCCAAGAGGAGTGTGGTTAAATATTGGGAGTTGGGGGGGAGGCGGAGGGAAAGACTGTTCTTATTTGGTCTGTGTGCCTGTTCAGGGGTCACAAAGAAATTGAGGACTTGTTTTTGTTGCTGTTGCTAGTTAGAATGTGTCTCTATGTGTGTTGCAAATAGGAGAGATGATGTCTTTTTAAAATGCTGCTGAGATAAAAAGGCTGTAGGAATTGACAATCGTGTTTTATTGGCTCCAATTTTAAAACCCTTTTTAATGAGCCCTAGCAGAGGGTTTCTTTCTCTTTTTAGAAAAGAGAAACAATATCCTCTCAGTTTCTCATGATAAAACATCATGATTCCAGATGCCAGGCTACTCCAGCCTAAACCATCCAAGTGTTACATTAGGAAAGTGCATGGTTTGAAAATCTAGCCTGGCATCCTTCTGTTGAGAGTGATGGCTAAAGGATGGTTCCCCCTTGCTCAGCCTTATGATTAAATGTTTTGGATGTTAACCCCCCCCCTCCATTGTGCTCCTACCAAATCTAGGTAACTAAACTTTTAAGACATGAAAAGTCCACAGTTTTTAAGGCAGCACTAGTGTTAAGGTGAGGCCAACAGGAGGCATGAGAAATCTTGAACTTGTAGCAAATCTCGTAAGTTGATTTTTCTAATATCTCTGGGAGATGAGTTAGTGAATTGTGGTGTCAAAAAAAAAAAAAAAAGGACACTACAACAATAGCAGAAGCAATTGTGAATCCAAACCCCCATGTGTTTCAAGACTGAGCACAAATCTCCAAGTGAGAACAAGAGCATGAAATGCATTTTTATTTTGTAAGTGTTTTTCATTTGTCTAAAGATCAAAATGGCAAGCTCTAGGTGATAGGCCCATGTTGCCACACCAGTAGGCACTGGTGATTAATATTCTGTCTTTCTAATTTTGATCACTTTTAAATGACCTATCAGTATGCTTTATTTAGCATATGTCGTACCTATTCAATAAGTCAGACAACATATCTATAGTCCTGAACATACATATATTCATAGTTTTAAAAATATATATAATCTAGCATAAAGTTAGAAACCTAGGGAGATAATAAAATTAAGATTTAACTTATTTCAAGAGTAATTTTGGCAAATGAGCTCTGTAAGTTTTATTCAATAAATAATTTCTGAAGCCTTCAATGTACTTTTATCTAGTAAGTATGTGCTAAGATTCAGTGTTAGAAGAGCTGACTTTCAAAATGCAAAATCTATTTCCTACCTTAGTCTGGATTCAGCACAGCACCTGGGGCTTGCTGGCTCTGTCCTGGTGGATAGGTGAGATACCAGGCTGCCTGGCTCCATGAGACACCTCCCAGCTTCACTGGGTCATATCATTTGAAGGAGATGTAGTGGTGTCTGACCACTGAATGCTTACAAGTGTCATGAATACTGCAAGAATCTGATACTTCTGCCATAAGAAGAAAACTGTATTTTCCTGTAAAAGAGAGGAAGATATTTGACAGAAAATAGTTTCTGTGAATCTACTGTTGACCTCAAAGTAACATCCTTTAGGTTTTGTTCCATGATTAGTAAATGTAGCCTTTAAAATTCTAGAGACTAATCATGCTATTCAAATTTTAATTCACAGGAGGAACGCCAAGAGCTTAACCTTTAATGTAGACAAAAATGTTATTAAGTTGCAACTAATACTATTAAATCAGCCCACTTATTATAGCACTAGCATAATATAAAAATTTTCCCTCAGCCTTTCATGGAGTTTAACAGAGAGATAAATGCGTTAGCCAGTTGTTTTTGAGATGACATCACTTTTTTTCAAGCAATTGAATAAAAGGACATTGAATATGTTACTTTTGGTCCACCTGTAGTTTTTAAAGTCTAAATATGAAAGAATTACTCCAATTTAGAGAGGAAGATGAAAAATTAAGGCTGACTAATCTGTTGGAATAAGGACTAGATGTAAGCAAATAGAATAACTTCGAAAGAGAATTTAGTTGGTTAGGAATATGTGAAGATATCTACAGCAACCAGAGGTATTAATATGATAATAATAATATAAATACAATTTTAAAGATTATTAAATAATTTTGAATTTGTATTAAGTCTAGAAAATATCGTACTCAAGAATAAAGTCTTCTATAAATACCCAAATTAATTTTACATTTTGGCTTTTGGTGCTTAGTTTTTCTGAGTATGCCATGTACACCCAAATTCATACTCTGTTTTTAACAAACTTAAAACATTAGGACAATAGATAAAGTAAGAAACTTGCTACCATCTACCATCGTATCCAAGTACATACATAAGTAATTGAAGAAGACAAGACTCGACAAAGGATATAAAGTTTCAGTTGGGCAGGAGAAATAAGTTTTGGTTATTTATTGTATGCCCTGTGGACTGTAGTTAATGTATATTTCAAAACATCTAAAAGGACACATTTTAAACATTCTCAACACAAAAAAATTACAAGTAAATGAGCTGATGGATATATTAATTAGCTTGATTTAATCTTTCTACTATAGATATATCAAAACATCACCTTGTATCCCCCAATCATATGTAATTTTTATTTCTCAATTAAATTTTTAAAAATTTTTTGAAGGTGACGAGACAAGTAGACAGGAATTAAGATATTTTGAATTCTTGTTTCTTGGTTACTTTTGTTTGTTTGTTTTATTGCAAGCAATATGGAACGTAGGAAATAAGTTCCTGAAAAAATTTTTGGAAACATCAATATCAAAGTCTTCTAAACCACAAAAATTTAACTTAATAAAATGGTATGATATACAGTGTTTAGTCCATTAAAAAGTAAATATCAGAAGACTTAGACTTCCCTAAGTTTAGCTTATGTAACCCAAGAAGGCTTTTTTATATTTTTAAATTCCATTGTATAAATTAGCAATATCCCAAATAAATCACATTGAACTGGATTAATTTGTTTTACATTTTTATTGCACCTCCTCCAACATGACTATTAAATAAATTCTTATTGAAAGTTGAATGAAGATTAGGAAATAAGAAATAAATTATGAACTGAGTGTCACATCAATACATTACTCAATCTACATTAACAGAGATCACAGCAAAAGTCCTTTGAGCCCTTTCCAGGTAAATATCTGAAGAAGATGATTGAAAAACCTTCATGCAAATAACTATATACTTTTAAATATTTAACCACTAGCTAATTAAGTCCTGTGTTGAGTCCCCTATTGAAGTGTAGTTTCTAGGAAATGATATTTTGTAGACAAGGAGACTATCTTATCAAGATTTCACTTCCTATAAAACATAACTTAAAGATTCCACATCAAGTAATGTAAGAATTTATTTAAACATCAAGAGTACTAGTTATCTATTTGCTAAAATGACTTGCAGTGATCAAAAAGCCATTAGATTTCCTAATACTCAGCTTTGATTCCTGGCTTTGGAGCTTGGAAAGCGTATCTTTAAATGTAGGACAATAGTTTCTATTGGTTCTCTTTCTAAGAACCAAAAACAACCTGAAAGCAAACTTAGCAAAGCAAACACGATCTTGTATCCCTGCATTCTAAATTGTTACTTCCCTTTTTATCAATTTGATACCCTCAGATTAAAAGTTGTTAGGTAGTTAAATTTTGTATCCAAAGTTATTCAGCCATGCAGAATACAATTTGTTTATTATTTGAAACAGGACCATTGATTACAAACTTATATCACAGGTGTGAAAGTCAGATAGTTCTACCTTACAAGTGCAAAGCAATTAGAGCGAATATTAACGTATTGTATTGGCATAGAGAACTTACCGACAAAAGTGGACATGTTCAAATTTTAATTCATGCTTGTATTGTTCCCAGTTTTTAATGACATTTTGAGGTTAACTCGTTACCTTAGCTAATTTCTACAAATCTCAATTTTCTTAACTTTAAAACATAATAAAAAATGTGTTGCGTTATATACAACAGCTAGTCTATGCCACCAGGTTATGTTCTACACACTTTACAAACATTAACTTAATTCGTATCACAGCCCTAAGGGATAGATACCATCATTAGCTTCATTTTCTAGATGGAACAATGCACAGAGAAGTAGAGCATTGTGCCTCGGGTTGCACAGCAGAGCTCAGGCACGGTGGCCCTTGAGTCAGGGCATCCACCATCCCTTGATGTTAGGCTATAATTCTAGTGATTGCCTATAGAATTATATGCAGGCTTAAGACTTTCCTTTTAAAAAAGAAACGGATGAGGGTTAAATATCTGTGTATCTAATTTTAAAAGAAGTTCGGACCGTCATTATTATAGGCCAAGGGTCAGCACTTTTTTTCTACAAAAAGCCAAATAGT